CTGAAATTCACTAGGAAGAACTGCGCCAATGAGGGGACTCTTTGCTTGTGCGAGCCTCAGTTTTCTCATCTGAGAAATGGGAATAATACTCCCACCCTCATCGGGTTGTTGGGAAGACGAAAAGCTTTTACAGTGGGGCCTTGACTTACGAGTGTCCCGACTAATAAGTTTTTTGAGATACCAGCTGTCTCTCCGCTGATTTTTTGCATTGAGTTGATAGAGTAATTTGAGTTAACGAGCTCCTTAACGAGCTCGGTCTCGGAACGAATTAAACTCGTAAGTCAAGGCCCCACTGTACTTCTGGGAGCACTTTGCAGAGCTCAGCACACAGTAGGCACTCAGCTAATCAGAGCCACTTACCATCCCCTCCCTACACTTCACCTGCCCTTGCTCCCAGCGCCGAGGACCTCTTGGCCTCTCCAGGCGTTTTCTCACACACCAACCCTCATACTCAAATCCTACTCTGACGTCCTGGCTCGCTCCAGATGCCCCTTCTCTCTGCAGTCAGCGCCAGCCCCCAGCTCCCACTCGCCCAGCTTTGCCTGCATTATTATCTGTTCTCCATCATATGGCCATCCAATTACCACCTACGAATTAAAATCCCAGGTTGTGAATTTGTCGGCTAAGTTTGCCTGCACCTGGGCTGACCCTCCCAATTAGGATGCAAGGCATTTTAGATCAAAGCACAACCTCATACTTTTTAGTTTTTCCCACATCACCCATCAAAGCATCTCAAATATAGCAGCCTCCATGAATCAATTAAAAGTTTGTGGATGTAAAAATACTTATAAATGGTCAATAGTCACTGATTGTGTGTGTGTGTGTGTGTGTGTGTGTGTGTGTGTGGTTGTTAGCATAAAGAAATCATGAGAAAGAGAGACACTGAATTCAGGTAACTCACTGATTTTCTCTGGAGGGAAGAGGAGGTGATGGGGCGGAGTCAACAGTGTTGGCAATGTCGTGCTGTGTTTTTTAAGCTGAGCGATAATCGCACGATTATTGGTTATGCTCTTCTCACACCTTTTCGTGCCCTTAAATATTGCAAGTGAATATTTATTAATTGACTCACATCTGCTGTTTGTGCCTGGGCTTATTAACACGCACAAGCACTGGGTGAGGGATTCTCCTGACAGGCGAGAAAATACTGAAAGCATTTGTCTTCAAAGAGTTTTCCTGCGGACTTTGGAGTATAACTCAGCAAACCCTTTCAATTAATCTTCTATCTGGCTGGGAAGATGTATGAGACATTACAAGCCTCACAAATGCAAATGGATTTCTATAAATAGGAGAAAAACAATTTCCTGTGTGTCCTTGTACAGAGAAAACTTAATTGGGAATTCATCTCTTGTTGGATGAAGGAAGAAGGTAGGAGAAGCAGATGGTGGACAGAGCAGGGCTCTGCGCTCTCGTTGACCTGAGAACCCCTACATTCTCCGTTGCCTTCCCCACTGCCTCGTCAATTCTCAGGCAATGGAGGACCAGTAGCATCCTCCAACCCCCAGTAGTTCTTCATCGTGTCCCCTACCCTCAAAGGTCACCTGTGCTCTTCGGGAAACGTGAGCATGACAAAGTTAGGTTCATCTACATTTGCAAAAGCCAGTCAGGACTCGAACCCCCATAGCTCTCATTTTTCAGGTCTAGACCAAGAACTGGATCCAGGCGTCCCATCTCCTCCCGGTTCAAGTTCCCATTGTTATGCCCAGATTTCAAAATCCCCCAAGACAGACCCCTAGGGAGCCGAGTCCGATGCAAAAGCACAGAGTCTTTTATTCAAGCCCGGGACTTGATCCCTCTGCCTCCCCTACCGACGCAGCGATAGGGTGCGAGAGGGCCCCGAGTCCCAAGGGAACAAAGAATTTATAGGGCTTGGGGTCCGGGGGTGGGGGCACACTCTGACCACTGATTTGGCCGATTCCGGTTGGTTGAGTGAGGGCCGGGGGCTAGCAATGCAAGGGCAGGTGCAGCTAGGGTCTGGTTACACAAAGACGGGGGGGGGGGGGGGGGGGGTGGCTAGCATACTTTCGGCCTTGGGCTAGTTTCCCCCGCTTTCCCATTGGCCGAGATAAGGGCAGGCTGAGTAACTGATACATTCTGCGTCTTTTTCTTGGAAAAGGGGTTAAGGACACAGCTATCAGTCCTGTTCTGTCCTTTCACCATCACTGTGAGAAAGACATTTACATACCGTACCACCCTCCATTGTGCTTCAAAGCCAGCTCCTCCCCGCCCCCCCCCCCCCAAATCAGGGCAGAAGAAATTCCAAGATCTTTATGCTAAATCCAAAGTCACTGTCGCCCCAGGGAAGAGCACCTCATAGGCTCAGAAACGTGAGTAGTAGTATGTGTCTCACCGACCACGGAGCTGCCACAGCCACAGCCTCTCCGAGAACTGGGAAATTAAGAAACAATGAACCTTCTCAGAGTGTTAAAGCAGCAGATCAACATGTAACAGACAAGCAGGAAAACAGGCTACATCCCCTGAGGGGACTAATAGACATCCTGGCTAGTCAGAACCCATGGCAGCCACGCTGAGTAATCCATCCAGCCCTCTACAGAGAGAGGGAGGGGGGTCGAGGAGGCAAACCCTGACAGGGCCTCACCCTTGACCCGGGGAGGGTGCCTGGGCAGGGGGCTGTGTGCACACTGGTACCGACCTAAGGAGTCTCCAAACCCATGGAGAATTTTTATGAGCTTATTTGAGCCAAACTGGCAACATTTGCTGGGAAACAAAATCTCAACGGATTGGAAATATGCTCCAGAGAATGGCAGTTTTACGGCTTCTTTTATACGTTAGAATCAAAGGAGGGGATGTAGGGGGTTACATGGTATCCCTGGGTGGTAGATGAAGGGGGCGGGAGAAAGCAAAGCTGGGCTCAGATAAAAAGGCAAATGGAGAGCCCATCCTTCTTTTACACCCGCGGGTGTGGGGCAGTTAATGGTTAACATTGACAGCAGGTGGAGATGGCATTCGGGGGACGAGAGAACAGTGAGGGCTCTGTGGTCTCTGCTCAGGTGCCAGGGGTTGTGCCGGGGAGGGAGGGGTTGGGTGGGTCTGGAAAAGGGGATTTCTCTGAGATTCAGAGGTCTGGTACCTTAATATATTTTTTTATTGATTTTTTTTACAGAGAGGAAGGGAGAGAAATAGTTAGAAATATCAATGAGAGAGAAACATCGATCAGCTGCCTCCTGCACACCCCCTACTGGGGATGTGCCCGCAACCAAGGTACATGCCCTTGACTGGCATCGAACCTGGGACCCTTCAGTCCACAGGCTGACGCTCTATCCACTGAGCCAAACCGGCTAGGGCCAGAGGTCTGGTACCTTAGATGCACAGGGCAATCACCGCTCTCTTCCAGTAAAGACTGATCCTTGTCAAGGAAGCTACGGGCCTAGGACTAGACTACCCGCCATGATCTGCTTCTAGTTGGGAATCTTTATGTTCGGACCATCCTGTGTGGTTGCTTTCCTTCTCTGAGTGTGCAGGCCTCCTGAGCTCCTCAGGTTTAGTATGGGGCCCCCTTTTTCATCCACTCTGGTCTGTGGGGACGGCAAGAGGGGCCTTGAGGTGGCACCGTGAGACTAGCCTCCCTGTAGCTGTAGGCTGCTGTGCTTACAGGCTTGGTGCACCCGCCCCAGCGACCGGCGTCTGTCCCCTTGGAACTTCATCCGCCTTTTCTTGTTGTGGACAGTGTTCACTTGATATTCATGGAGCACCTGTGCCGGGTGCAGGGACACAGCAGAGAAAGAGACAGGCACAGCCCCTGCCTGGAGGAGCCTTTGATCTGGGGGACACTGGTCTCAAGGCTGCATCAGCTGTGCCTGCCCCCCCTCCCCACCTCCCCACCCAGGGGAGACGCACTCAGGGGCATTGAACCCAGAAAGTTGGCAACAGACAGCGCAGGGCCCTAGGGAACACCATCAGCTAGGAAGGGCCCCCGAGTGCACCAGTCCTCAGAGAAGTCTGTCCCTTTGCAGGGCTGTGGAGTCTGCAGCCGCCAAGCAGCTCGAATTCATGAAAAAAATGCTTGCCTTCCTCTTTCCTGGCCGCGGCGGGAACCCGGAGGGAGGGAGTGGCCCTGCCCAGCCCGCTGAGCATTCAGCTGGGACTCTCCCTCTGCGCCGTGCGGCGCTGTGAGCGGAGGGAGCACTTCCCGCTATTCCAGCCCAGCCTCGGGCCACCTGTCGCTGGAGAGAGTCGCCAGGGCGGGGGACGGGGAGGGGGTGCAGAGAGCCCCCGCAGGCACCAGCAGACCTGTTTCCTGTCTCTGGACCGGCTCCCCCTCCAGCCAGCGGTCGGGGCGCCCCAGACCCTCCCTCCACCCGCAAGAGCGAGAGCGTCCAGGCTGTGGCTCCCCAGGCTTCCCCGAGGCAATTCTCCCTGCTGCTCGGTTCCAGCTAAAGAAACGCAACTGCACCTTCCAGTCTTTCTCTCCAAGACCCCGGAGCACTGAGCAGCCCCTCCCAGGCTCCGACCCACATCCCTGCCCTCCTAGTCCTTCCCTCCCTCGGTCGGCTCCACCGGGCGCTCACACCGGCAACCGCGAGCGCTTACGCTCATGCACACACTCGCGCACACGCATGCACACGCGGGCGCACACACATGCACACGCGGGCGCACACACATGCACACATGCACATGCGGGCGCACATACATGCACACATGGGCGCGGGGAACCTCCGCCCTGGGCGTCTGCAGGAGCAGGGGCACACCCAGTACCCCCGCGAGTGCAGCGGGACATGGCCCGAGCCGAGGGAGCGAAGACCCGCCTGCCCGCCCCTCGGGTTCTCCCTCCACCTGGCAGGTTCCGAGTCATTCAGAACTGACGGTATCCCCTGGTCACGTGGGAACCTGGTCCCCATCCTCCACCCCCACCCGCTGCGGTGCGTGTGGCCCTTTAAATCGGTTATTACTCAGGAGTCCGTTCATACAGGAGGCAGAAGGGGAGGAGAACAGGGGAGAGAGTGTGGAGGGGAGGGAGGGAGAAAGGGGGGGGAGAGAGAGAGAGAGAGAGAGAGAGAGAGAGAGAGAGAGAGAGAGAGGAGCCTCCAGTCCCTGTCGGAGGAGGTAGCGACGGAGGGGCTGGCGGGGAAGGGACAGGATGGCTTGCAAGCCTCTGCCAGCAGGACCCGGCAGGGAGAGGCAGCGACCCAGGCTGTGGTGATGGCTGGGGCCCCAGAGCCCCCTCCAGGGCCCCGCCCGCCCCTGCCCCGCCTCTAGGGGACACCCCAGAAGTTAGCATCAGTGCCACTTGGAAGCTGCCACGGCAACAAGTAAGTTCTCTTCCTTTGCTCCTCCATTCCTCCCCCAGCAGCGCTGGGGAGCGGGTGCCCCAAGCCACGAGCTTTGACCGGGAACCAGCCTGTGGGGGGAGCTGATGGGAAGGAGGGAGGGTCTAGGGTGGGTCCAAAGTTCAGCCTTGAAGTCTGGCTGGGAGTTGGCCCTCAGAGGACTGTACGGCTGTCCACCGCTCTGTCCATCTCTGTCCTGGCCCTGGAGCAGGGGTTCCTGCCCGCCCCCCCCAGGGCCCCCTCAAGGTGTTAGAGGCCAGGGCAGGGGGCAGGTGGGCATCACACCCCGGGAGGCCACTCTGCCTTCAAGTGGGGGTGCAGAGGGTGCAGTGGGCTGGGGTGGGGGTGAGCTCCCTCGGCCTTAGATCCTCAGCTTCATCTTGCTGGCTTTCAAGTCTGGCCAAACTGATTGCGTGGCCTTGCTGTGTGTGCCCCTTTGTGCCCGGTCACTTCCTGCGTGCGTCCCCCTCTCTCTTCAAACATCTTTCCGATGGTGCCCCAAGGCCAGGGGCCAGGGTCCAAGTGCAGGGAGAGGGAACAGCGAGAGGGAACAGGGCAGGGCATGGCCCTTATTCCTATTTTCCCAAACCCAGGGGTCCCCTGGGCTGTGCCTCCCTTCAGACAGGCCTCTCTTCCCGGGACCTATGTAGCGCGGGCTCCCCAGACCGTATCTGAGCCTCAAAGGTCCAGGGCTCACCCCCGGTGTCGGGTCAGGGAAGACCAGTCCGGCAACACCCGTGGGCACGTCTGTGTTTGATTTGGGTCAGGCTGTGCCGAGTATGTCGCTCTCTTTTGATCCTTTGAATGGAACAGAAATGATCACCCTTGGTCTCCGGGGGAGGACTCCCCGCGGCTCAGGGGAGGCGGAGTAACTTTGGAATGTTAGCAACTTACAGAGAGACTCCCACCTGGGTCTCACTCCGAAACAGACGCGTTTTTCATCAGGAAGCTGGCCCCCAGGGCTCTCTGGCTCACAAAGCACTTCCCACGTGGGAAGGGGCGGGGGAGAAGCTCATATTTATGGCACCGAGTCCCGGGCTGGACACATGCACATGATTTCATCTGGGACCCGTCCTGGGGTAGAGGTCAGCTGTTTCACGGGCTTGATGGATGGCACGGAAGTCTGGAGAGTTCTGAGCACTCCACTCCCTGTCCTCTGGCTTCAAACCCAGAGCCGGTCCACGGTCCAGCACGTGCCCTGGGGTAAGGGTTAGAGAGGCGGTTAGGGCAGTGATGGCGGAACTATGACACACGTGTCAGAGGTGACACGCAAACTCATTTTTTTTGGTTGATTTTTCTTTGTTAAATGGCATTTAAATATATAAAATAAATATCAAAAAGATAAATCTTTGATTTACTATGGTTGCAAAGACCAAAAAATTTCTATATGTGACACGGCACCAGGGTTAAGTTAGGGTTTTTCAAAATGCTGACACGCCGAGCTCAAAAGGTTCGCCATCACTGGGTTAGAGTATGGTCCGGCGCTGACACATAGAGCTGGGGCAGCTGCACGGGGACCCCAAACTCCCGCTGTGACCTGGGATGGCATCGCTCCTTAGAGGTGGGAGGCCAGGCCTGCCGTGGGCACAAGGGCGCAGGGCGTGTGCTTCTCGGCAATAATAGCAAGGAACTGTCACCTATCAGACGCTCGCTATGAGTAACCTTAGGCGTTGTGTATTTGCCATGGGATCGTGTCTTCTTTTCCCAGCCACTGCTCTTCCCGCTGCCCCTCCCTCTACCTCACCCCATCCCAACCCCCAGCATCCTGGACCCAAACTCTGAAACTAAGTTCCCAGGGTAGAGACGGATAAGCTAAGGCTGGAAAAAGACGGGCATTCTTTTACCTTGGGAGGAATTAGGGGTGCGGGGCATTACCGAGTGTTTATGACTTGTCAGCCGCTGCTCATTCATTATGAGATTGATAATAACGGATGACAGCGGCCTGAATTATTAGAAGCAGCAGGGCCGCCTTCAGAAGGGAGCGATCCCAGAGAGAGCTGTCCTGCCCACCCCACCCCGCACAGCCCGCTCCTCCCCAGCCCTGGTCTAGATTCACCAGCTCTCAGACAGAAAGGGGGTCCCGTAGCCACAGGGGATCTTGTCCTCTCCAAAAGCCACTGTTCAGTGCTGCATCCTCACAGTGTGTCTCATAATTAAGTAACATAATTAACATAACTAATTAAGCAGAGAAAGCCTAGCGCCATCCAGCTAGGGGAGGGGAGGCGCCGCCTTCTCTGGCGCTGAAGCGGGGTCCCAGTGGCATCCCCAGCATGGGTGCCCCTGAGCCTGTGGGCACATCCCCAGAGGCGGAGAGCTCTGTCTGCTGTGGTCCAGCAGAGGCCTCGTGGACCCTGCCACACACCCCCTCAGCCTCGCTGCCCCTCCAGGGCCTCTGCCAGCGCCCGCCTGGGCCTCTGTCGGAAGGGGCTTCTGGTCACCTGCGATGCAGCTAACCCTTCAGCAGAGGAGAGAACCGAGAGTCCATTCTCCATGTTTCATTTGCTCTTAAAGCGACCTGCCTCTCCACACCTGTGGGCAACGTCGCCAAGGGTGCACTGAGCACGCACGTACTTCAAAGCCACGTCTATGTCTATATTTTGGTTTGAAATCAGTTTGTCAGCCATTGATTTGATCACCTAAAATGTGCCAGGAATCATTCAGTTTTGAAAACCTTGGAATGTGATCATTCGAGCCGGGTTATGCCTTCCGCTTAGGAGAATGTTATCAAAAGCGTGCATCTTCTGCCCTAGCCGGTTTGGCTCAGTGGATAGAAAGGTCCCGAGTTCGATTCCTAGTCAAGGGCACATACCTCAGTTGCAGGCTTGATCCCTGGCCCTGGTTGGGGCGCATGCGAGAGACAACACATAGATGTTTCTCTCTCTCTCTGTCTCTTCCCTTCCACTCTCCCCTCCACTCGCTCTAAAAATCAATGGAAAAATATCCTGGGGTGAGGATTAAAAAAAAAAAAAAGCTTGCATTTTCTGAGCAATACTGGTGGAATATTTAGGCTGGGGGGGGGGGGGGGGGGTCGGGGCGGGGGGGGGGCGGACGATGGAGAGGAGGGAGGAGCCCAGGTATCCATTCCGTGGCTGGCAGGTGCCCTTTCCAGGTCAGAGCGACAGGCAGGCCTTTGGGAGCCAGCAGTGCTTCTAAGAGGGCCCGTCGTCAGATGGCTATTGAGACAGTCGTCAGCCATGAAGGAATTTTTCTGTTTTTCCTAAAGACGAGATAAGAAGAACTTGAGTGCAGATGCAAAGAATTAGAGGGAGACATCTGGGAAGAAAATACCTGGATGTGTTTTTCTAAGACAGCTGTGCAGTGGCTTTCTCTAGAAGGCCAAAGGGGACAGCTTCCCCTTCCCAGACCCTGCTGCCCAGGGACAAGGGACAGCATGGGGGCCCTGCCCGCCCAGCACAGCTTATCTTGTTCCTCCCACCTTGACATTCTGATAAGAGAGCTATTCTCGTCCCTGGAGCCCAGCTGGCAGCGGCCCTTGCCAACAGCCGTGTTAAGTTAAATGTCAGGACCAGACCCTCAGCACATGACCCTGGGGAACCCAACCGTGTGCCAACGTGGGTTCCATTATCATTCCAGACCCGAGTGGGCCAGGGGCAAAGGCCGTGGCAGGTGGCAACAGCACCTCCTAGTCACCAAGGGTCAACCCATCTGGTGGCCAGAGGCTGGGGTGGGGGTGACAAGGGACATGGAGGGGAGGGACAGGAGCGATCATGACAAGCGCCCAGTCTCTCACACTCATCCGCTGTGACCCGCTTGTCGGGGCCACTCCTCTGCATCTTGTCTTATCATCTTCCTAACAGGGCCTTTTACAGAGCAAATGTTTTTCATTTTGATGAGGCCCAAATTTATCAGTTTTTTCTTTTATGGGTCAGGTTTTCAGCCTAAGAACTCTTTGCCTGCTGTTGATCTCATAGAGTTTCTCCCATATTTTTCCCTAGAAGTTTCATAGTTGTATTCTTTACATTTAAGTCCATGATCCACTCTGAGTTAACTTTTATATAAAGTCTGAGGCTTAAAGGGTCAAGGTTCACTTTCTTTGTCCATCCTCTGGTACCATGTGTTGAAAAGACTGTCTTTCTTCCACTGAATTCCCTTTGCACTTTTGTCAAAAATCAATTGAGCATATCTGTGAAGGTCTATTTCTGGGTTCTCTGTTCTGTTTCATTGATCTATATATCTGTCCCTTTGCCAATACCCTAGAGCCTTTATCACTGTAGTTATAGAATGCTTTAAAATCGAGTAGACTGCTTTCATCCATTTATTCTTTTTCAAAATTGTTTTACCTATTCTAGTGCCTTTGACTTTCATGTAGATTTTAGAATAATCTTATCTATAGCTACAAAAAAAAAAGCTCATGTGAATTTTTTATTGGAATTACATTAAATCTATATATCAATTTCGGGAGAATTAACATCTTTACTGGCTTGTGTCTTCACATCTAGAAACACAGTTTGTTTCTCCATTTAGTCAGATACTCTTTGATGTCTTTCATCAGCATGTATGGTTTACAGCAGTTCTTTTTGATCTGCCATGATGAACTGTGTGCCCTTTGCATATCACTTAGTTTCTCAGACCTTCATTTTACTTTCTGTAAAATGGGTATACTACTACTACTACCTTGAAATGGCGTGGAAAAGGTACAATAAGACAGCAAATGAGAAGTGGCTGGCTCTAAGTGTTCAATGACTTATTTCCCTTTGACTGATTCTCTTACCTATTCGGTTCTTTTCTTCTTCCCAGCTCTCATTCTGATGCCCACATTCACTTTCACTTCTCTCCACTGTCTTTTCTTTTCATTGTTTTCTTAACCTTCTTTCGTTCTCAACCCCTTATTCTAATTCTCTTCACTCTGTTCTTCTCTTATCTCACTGGCTTTTCCTGTTTCATTCATTCTCCCAGGATATTTGTCTCATTCACTGTGCATTGAGTCATTTGGGGGCATTCTCTTTTTCTTGTTTTTCTCA